AAGGAGGAGAGAAAGAGGGAGGGAAGGCTGGCCACATCAATGTGTGGCGGGTACAGCTAGTATTACTATATTGCACTATACCATTATATTGTAATATTATTAGTGATATTACATGTAATGTAAATATATAATTATAATATTGTATTATTATTACTAATATTACATTGTATTACATTATAATATTATAAATATTATATGTATATACAATATACTATATTATATTATTAGTAAAGACAAGATTTATTTATTTATTTCTTTATTTACTTCGCTTCTATACCGCAATTCTCAGCCTAATGGTGACTCATTGCAGTGTACAACATAGAAAAACAGGTGCAAGGTACAACATCAAATCAAATAATCCACAATACATAATTATCAAAACATCTCATCAAAACATCAATACCACAAGCCATTCCGAGTCGTCTCATTGTCAAGTTCACAATCCGATACCATTTCCGTTGTTCCATTCCTATGGTCGAGTTACCAGTCATTGCACTTCTATTCAAATGCCTTCTTAAACAACCAGGTCTTTAGCTTCCTGAGGAATATCAACAGGGAGGGGGCTAGCCTGATGTCCACGGGAAGGGTGTTCCACAGCCGAGGAGCCACCACCGAGAAGGCCCTATCTCTCGTCCCCGCCAGCCGTGCCTGTGACGCAGGCGGGATCGAGAGCAGGGCCTCCCCGGAAGATCTCAAAGTCCTCGTGGGCTCATAGGCCGAGAAGCGGTCAGTTAGGTATCTTGGGCCGGAACCGTTTAGGGCTTTATAGGCCAATGCCAGCACCTTGAATTGAGCCCGGTAGCAGATCGGCAGCCAGTGGAGCTGGTACAGCAGGGGTGTATGCTCCCTGCGTCCCGCTCCTGTTAGTATCATGGCTGCCGCACGTTGGACCAGTTGGAGCTTCCGAGCCGTCTTCAAAGGCAACCCCACGTAGAGAGCATTGCAGTAGTCTAAACGGGATGTAACCAGAGCGTGGACTACCGTGGCCAAGTCAGACTTCCCAAGGTACGGGCGCAGCTGGCGCACAAGCTTTAGCTGTGCAAATGCTCCCCTGGTCACCGCCGAAACCTGGGGTTCCAGGCCTCAGCGATGAATCCAGGATCACACCCAAGCTGCAAACCTGCGCCTTCAAGGGGAGTGCGACCCCATCCAGATAGAACTGTCTTCTGCTCCCCTTTGTCTTCACTCTGGCCAGAGCAGCAGTTGCTGCCAGAGGGGGAAGGGGCCTCCCAACTGATGATATAGGCAGAAGACAAGATGGATTTGTACTTTGTTCTTTTCTTGCATGGCAGAAGGAGGTTGGACTGAATGGCCGCTTCCACTGAAAAGCTGTTAATTAATTAATTAATTAATTAATTTACAGTATTTATATTCCGCCTTTCTCACCCCGCAGGGGACTCAGGGCGGATTACAATGTACACACATATATGGCAAACATTCAATGCCGATTTTGACTTACAACATATACAGAGGCTATTTAACTTTTTCTGGCTGCCAGGGGAGCTGTCGCTTTCATTGTCCATCTGCGACACTGATGAAGTACTTCTGCATTCCCCGCATGCTTTTTTTGCTGGAGTGCTTTGCTGGAGTCTTTTTTATGGCCTCATAAATTAGTTAATTTAGCCTCCCCACACTTTAAGGTGGTATGTAATTTTCCTACTTGACAGATGCAACTGTCTTTCGGGTTGCAAAGGTCAACAACAGGCTACATAATTGGTTAGAAACCCACTCCAACCCGGGCTGGCTTCGAACTCATGACCTTTTGGTCAGAGTGATCTTAATGCAGCTGACACTCAGCCAGCTGTGCCACAATCCTGGTACACACACACAAACTATATATATATAATATATAACATATATAATATATAACATATATAATATATAACATATATTAACATTTCTTGAGGCTTCTTGAGAACCTTTTGCGTCAAAGTGTTCCGCAGCTAAAAAGGTTTGAGAAGCCCCAGGTGAGAGGAATCAACTGGTGCTTTTATTGCTATATAACTATTCGTTTTATACTATTTAAATTATATTTCAGCAGCGGGTTAAACCACTGAGCTGCTGAACTTTTTGACTGAAAGGTCATATGTTCGAATCCAGGGAGAGGTGTGAGCTCCCACTGCTAGCCACAGCTTCTGCCAACCTAGCAGTCCGAAAACATGCAAATGTGAGTAGATCAATAGGTAGTGCTCCAGCGAGAAGGTAATGACACTAACATACACTCATGCTGGCCACATGAACTAGGAGTTATCTATGGATAATGCCGGCTCTTCAGCTTAGAAATGGAGACGAGCAACGACCCCCAGAGTTGGACAGGACTAAACTTAATGTCATGGGGGAAACCTTTGCCTTTACTTTTTCTCATTTAAATCGTACTATTTATTTATTAGCATTGGATGTTTGACTTTTTATGTCTATGAGCCGTCCCGAGTCCGCACGGGAAGATGGAGCGGGATATAAATAAAGTTTTGGGTCGTTGTAGGTTTTTCAGTCTGTATGGTCATGTTCTAAAAGCATAAAGCCCTAAACGGTTCCGGCCCCACTTACCTCTCCGAACGCATCTCCACCTATGAACCGACTAGGACATTAAGATCGTCCGGGGAGGCCCTGCTCTCGGTCCCGCCTGCATCACAGGCACGGTTGGCAGGGACGAGGTACAGGGCCTTCTCGGTGGTGGCCCCTCGGCTATGGAATGCCTTACCTGTAGACATCAGACAGGCCCCTCCGCTGTTGGCGTTCCGGAGGAAGGTTAAGACTTGGCTCTACGAACAAGCGTTTGGCTAAACAGTGCAACTGAACACAGGAAGACGGTAAAATTGAACATAGGAAATGGTACAAGGATTATGAGAACGGATTCTGATTTGTTATCGAGGCGTTATGATATGATAATGATTGTTGATTTTGTCTGTTGTGTATGATGTGTTTTAACTGCTTAGGATATTGTTGTGATAACCTGTATTGTGTAAACCGCATTGAGTCGCCTAATTAGGCTGAAAAATGCGGTATAGAAATAAAGCAAATAAAATAAATAAATTCTCTCCTGACATTTCGCCTGCATCTACAAAGTTTTGTTGTTGTTCTTGCATACATGAGAAATATATATATATATTAATCTGGATTAAAATACAAAACCTGTGAATTCCATTCTGCCTGAACTGAAGGACACAAAGGAAGGAAGTCACCTGTTTCCCAGAAATTAGCATTGGTTTGTTTCAACAGGAAGAGGAACAAGGCAGAAGGAGGAAAACAGGAAATCTTATGGTGAAATCTATGAGTCTCCAAAGTTAGAAGAGCAGGGGCACAGTCCCCTTTCTAGATTCCCTGGAAATAGCACAAATCCACATTTCTTGACAGCTGGCATCTCTCTGTCTCTCTCTCACCCTCCTTTTCCTCAATCCACTGCTTTCCTGTGATTTCCGGCTTCCTGTCATCCGAGCACTTTTCCCTGCTAAAGCTCTTTCTCTCTCAGCCGCTTCCGGTTTCTTCATCCCCCCCCCTCAGGATGGCTTGATCTCTACTACGCATGCGCACAGATTCCTCCTTCTCAGTCTCAAAGCTGTGCTAACTTCAGCCCCGCCGGATCCCTACTACGCATGCGCGCAGGTTCCTCATTCTCAAGTTAGCTTCAAGGCTTCGTGATGACTTCATCCCTGCTGGATCGCTAATACGCATGCGCAAAGTTTCCTCCTTCTCAAGATAGCCTGTTGGCTTAATCCCTGCTGGATCCTTCGTACGCATGCGCACAAATTTAAAAAAAGGGGGAAAAAAAAAAAAAGACAAAAAAAGAAGGGGAAAGGGGGGAAGAGAAGGGGGAGGGGAAGGGAAAGGGAGAGAAGAGGGGATGAGGGAGGAGGGGGAAGGGGGGGAGAAGGGGGAAAGAGAAGGAGGCGAGAGGGAAGGGAGCCAGGAGAGGGCGAGGCCGAGGGGGGGA